GTCTTTCCCAACCCAGTAGATTCTATGATTTGATGACTGATATGAGTCAGAGCCAACTCACTGGGAGTGTATGTGTGTGTGTGTGTGTGTGTGTGAGAACTGGGCCTAGACCTGCAGGTACACATAAGGCCTGCTTGTGAGAAATAAAGGACTGGTTTTATTATAAGCAGATAAGATAGACAAAATTACTAACAAAGTTATTTTTGTTTTCTTCTTATTACTAACCTTTAGGTGTACTGCGAAAGTTGTAAGGCATACAGTTCAGTCTCGGAATGTATGCCAGGGACTGACCGCACAGGAATAGGGAAATTACATATTAACTGAAAATAAAGCTGACTCAGTCTTATGCCATGTGGGTAGCCATGCGGGCACATGGAGGTTGCCATGTTGCTGGAAACTCCTCCCCTGGCATGAGGGGGAGGCACCGAAGAGCCAATCTGAAGAAGAGGAACACACCCTACCCCATGACGTAAACAGGGTTGGACTTTAAGGATGTGATAAGGGATGTGATAAAAGGTCACTGCCTGAAAAACCATCCTAGGCCTTGAGAGGCACATTCTGTGACGACATGGGACCCCTGGGAGAATTGAATCAGGTAATGGGACTCACTTTTGAAATAATGTTATAAGCTCTTGGGCAAAGAAACGTGACATTGAGTGGATCTATCACATCCCTTATCACCCACAAGCCTCTGTAAATATTGAGAGGTATAATGGACTGTTGAAGACTATGTTAAGAGCATTAAGTAATGGGACATGGAAGCATTGGGAGGCAAATTTATCTGAAGCTACTTTGCTCGTCAACAATAGGGAATCTGCTAGCCGCCTGGGTCCTGCCCAAACGCAACCCTTACATACTGTGGGAGGAGATAAGGTCCCCATACTACACATGGGGAAGTGGCTGGGGAGTCAGTGTGGGTTTCTCCTCCCATGGGAAAAGGCAAACCCATCTGTGGAATAGTCTTTGCTCAGGGACCAGGGTATACCTGGTGGGTAATGTGGGAAGATGGGGAGACCTGGTGTGTGTCTCAAGGAGATGTAACCTTGGGGTAAAAATAATCTGTGCTCTAAGTTGTATGTCGCAGGAAGTAAAGTAGGAGGGCAATGAAGAGTGAATTTGTGAGGAAGAAGGAGAGTGTGACAATGATCCGAGCCAGGTTGGTGTCGGCGCACAATGATCGATTGTGCTGCTTCTCCTGTCCTGAGTACCCATCCTAATGGAACTGAGCCCAAGATCTGGAGGGGTGGAAGGAGCTTATAAAATAGGAAAAATAATATCTACCTGTGAAAGGATGGGGGATAGTCAGAAGATATATATATATATTATGTGAGATCTGAGTATAACACAAATGGTATGGAATAAGGGGTGGAGACTGTATTGGGTCTGGCTGAACTGGAGTTCATTTCCCCATAGCAGTCCTCACAGTGCTGTGCTTTGCATTGGTAGCTAGAAGGGTGTTGATAACACATCAACGTTTTGGCTACTGCTGAGCAGCGCTGGCACAGCATCAACACTTTAACATTCCTCCCCCAATTGAGGGCAAGATTCTGGGAGGGGACACAAGTAGGCCAGCTGACCCAAACAAACCAAAGGGATATTCCATACCATATGACATCAGTTCAGATATGAAAAGCTAAGGAAAGGAGGAGGAAAGGGGGGCATTAATTGTTTCCAATGGCTGCCTGCTGAGAAATCATTACGTGTTGCTGAAGCCCTGCTTTTCAAGAAGTGGCCAGACATCGTTTACTGATGGGAAGTAGAGAATAAACCTTGTTATTTTTTGCTTCACTTGTGCATGTACAAACTTTGGCTTTAGTAAACTGCCTTATCTTAACCTATGGGTCGTTTTCCATCTTATTCTCTCTCCCCTGTCTGTCTGGGAAGGGGAATGAGAGCAGCTTGGTGGGCACTTGACATCCAGCCAAGGTTAACCCACTACAACCCCCAAGTCTCAAATGAACAAAAGGAAAAACCAATAGACACATGAATTATGGCAGAAATTGGGCTATATTGAAGGGGACTGGAGGCATCTCTTTTTATTCCCTCAGCTGATCCTCTGGTTCCAATTAAACTGGGGAATTAAACAATAGATTTTCTAGTGGATACTAGAGCAACTTATTCTGTAGTTACTCACTGCAAGGGACCTTTAAGTAAAACGAAAGTAGGTATTATTGGTGCGATCGGGAGGAAATCCCTCAGACCATTTTTACAACCAGTGGAATTCACAATTGGAAACACAAAATTAACACATCAGTTTCTCTATATGCCAGAGTGTCCTTTGCCATTGCTCGGAAGGGATTTACTATGCAAATTAAATGCACAATTAACTTTTTCTGAGGAGTCTGTCCAGTTTCACATTCCTTCAGAAAATGCATGGAAAGCACAGATCTGCCTACTCACTGAGGAAAAACCTACAGAAGAGATAATCCCCAGTGAAGTTTTAGATGCAGTTATACTATTGGTTTGGGCATTGGGAGGAGCAAGAAATGAGAGTCCAGTAAACATTGAACTGAAACTAGGAGTCTGACTAGTAAGGAAAAAACAATACCCTATAAAGTTAGAGGCCCAACAAGGATTGGAACCATTAACAGACTCTCAGAATTCGGGTTATTAAGGGAATGCCAATCAGAATTTAACACTCTTATCCTCCCAGTGAAAAAGCCTAAATCATCAGAATATAGACTAGTGCAAGATTTATGGGCATCTGGTAGTCCTAAATCCTCAATACCAGAGACTAATATGTACTTTACAGTGTTAGATTTCAAAGACATCTTCTTTTGCATACCTGTGGACAGAGTCAACTTGTCTTTGCCTTTGAATGGGAAAATCTAACTACAGGACAGAAGCTGTTCAACCATCCTCCCATAAGGATTATCCTAGCAAAGGAGCTGGAACAATGGCATCGTGAGTCTTAACTCAGTCACTTTGCTTCCCGTCTCAGAGACATGAGAACTGCAACATATGCCTTTGGCACAGTCCATGCTCTGCCAAATTATACAAAAGAAGAGGATAAAGAAGGATGCTGGGAAACACCTGTAAAGCAGCTATAGGTCTCTGAGAAGATGATGGAAAACCTACTTAAAAGGATGAATCAAGAGAGGCGTGGGAGCAGATATATTGTTGCTTTCAGCAAAGAAGCAATAAAAATATCTATTAGTATTAGTAGATATCTTTTCTGGTTGGCCAGAGGCTTTCTCCTGTCATACCAACAATAGTAGAGAAATAATTACAGTTTTGTTAAAAGAATTAATATCCAGATTTGGTATACCAAAAGGAATCTTCAGATAATAGACCCCACTTTATAGCAGAAATAGCGCGGGAAATGTTTAAGTTTTTGCAGAATAATTAGGAATTAAATACCCCATGAAGACCACAGTCTAGCGAGAAGGTAGAAAAAATGAATTAGACAATAAAGAAGCAAATATCAAAGTTATGTCAAGAGGCTCAGTTGAAATTGATGGTCGTCAAGTTTGCTTCAAACTATAATAGTAACAGCTATTGTCATTATCATAGTTTGTATTACCTTGAGTTGTGTCAAAAGATTAATTATACAATCAACAGTAGGAGTTCACGTGTTGCTAGCCAGGAAAAGTAGTGAGGTTTACAAGCCTTGTCATAAGGACAAATCTTGTAGCCTCATAAGAGGAAAATGATATCAAGCCCCTCAAGATTTGAATCAAACTTTGTAATTTTTTTTAGTTGTTAATCAGTAGCTATAGCTGGACAGTTATGATTAAGCAATTGCATTGAGAGCATCGTATGTTTGGCTAATCTTTTGTTTTAAGGAAAAGGGAACACAATTCCAAGATGAACGGGCTGTCTGGACAAGAGCCACCAGGAGTGAAGTCAGCAGAACTGAGCAGTAACTGGGGAGAAAGGTAGTTCTGGCAGGGGGAGATTGCGACCATTGACTCATTGACCACCTACTCAAAATGGACCCCAAACTCAAACGGAAAGAAAAACTGCACCTGTGGACTAATTAGCATGAGAAGCGAGAGATATAACTAGCAAATAAGGGTTTGAGTATTAATTAATGAAAAACTTATGTAATCTGTAACCAATGAATGTGATGCCTTTGCTTATTAGAATGTATAAATAGTGTAAAGTTTTGATGATTGGGGAGCCAACCTTTTGTGAGTTGCCACCCAGCTCCCTACTTTACACAAACTAGAATAAAAAATAGAAATACCTTGCCTTGGTGTGTGAATTGGCACTGTGCACCCAGTAACCAACCCACACCTGTACTTTCAGCAGCAGGCCCACATTTTCCCTAGTATTACTGTTGTTATTGATGCATTTGAAGACTTTATTTTTCTGGCATACATAGATTTTGCTATGGTTTTCCCTTATCCAAATAAAAGAAAAATAACAAGCAAGATGGATAAACTGCAACTTTTCTTAAAAATGAAGACTGTGTTAAATCTAGAGAAACCCGAGACTCTGGTGTTGGACATTGGTTTTGCAGTGAGAACTATCAAATCAAAAAGATCCCATTCAACAATTGTTTTGGTAAAACAGGTAAGACTAAGGCCTCTGCGAGGTATATGGCGAGACTGCCCTGTACACGGAACGGGCAGTGGGACAAAAGCCCCGTTTAATTGCGGTCTCAGGAAAAAAAAGGCCTTTTGCTAACGATGGTGCGCAGGGGGAAGAAACCGGTAGCCATGGCAGAATTTGTGCCACAGCCACCCTCCGACACACCTCGGCAGCCCCACCCCACCGCCATACGCCCCAGCGCAAGAACTCCCAGACCCCACAGCAGGCATGGCCGGCAGCGCAGAAAGCCCTGCTCGCAGCTCCTCTGCTCGGCACGGCAGAGCCCCCGAGGACCACGGCAGCGGCAGAGCCCCTCCCCACTCTGGACGACGGGGGCTGTCCTCAGAGCTCATAGCAGGGCCGAGCCCACTCCCCCTCTCCGCTCGCCCCCTCGGGAGCGGCGGGATCACCTTCAGCTTCTCCCAACAGCTGCCCTTCACCCCTGACCCCACAGGCGCACTCACCGTCTCACGACTCCGATCTTAATCTTGATCTGCCTCAAGCGTGGGTCTGCCATAACGGGGCTGACGGAGGAGCAGCACAGACTGGACTCTAGCGACACAACACCGCGACTGCACAACCCCATCCCGCGCATGCGCTAAGCCACCAGCATGGAGGCGCGATTGGAAGCGGGGGCAGAACCCCTCGCCCCTCCCCCTTCCCCCCCGGCACCCGGTGAAGACGTCCCGATAGCGACCAGCGGGCGGCCGCCCCTCGAGTGACCGGGTTTAATTCCCCATTTCTTCATAAGTACACACGAAAAACAAGTCTGAATCCACCCTCAGATGCAGTAATAGGAGTTATTCTGAGATACAAACAAATTAAAAGGCAACATCAGCACTGGTAGCTCAGTCCTAGAGTTATAACTGACTGATGGTTCAAGGGTTGTTTTCCTTCATGCTTATACTTAGTTGAGGTTAACCATTTAAGGGGTCAAATTCTAGAAAAATAATCATTTGGTTCTGTGCTTGAAAGAACTTCCCCTAAATGAGCATTTAAATCAATAAGAAAGATGAAAAGAAATAGATTCAATGAATAAATCAGAAAGATAAATATAACTTCAGTGGAGTACAATTCAGGAAGGTCTGTATAGACCTTTTGTTTTTCACATCCTTTTGTCCTGTGTTAGTCACTTGCCCTGACTCTTGGCACTTAGTGACCAATCTCTTGAGAAAAAACAGCTGCAAAGGAGGATGTTATATTTCTCTTGATGATATGCCACTTATAGATCATTAGCTGGCAGCTGTAGGAGTGCAACTGGCACTACTGTGCCCCCTTCAGACATAGTATAGGGAGGGCCAAGATCACTCAAGTCCATGGAATTGTATCTTATTCGCAGAGGAGGACAAACATGACCTGTGTTACTTTGGTGTGGAAAAATACTGAAAGACAAAGCTCAACAAGAAGGAATGCCCCTGTTGGCGATAGTTCACCAGAAACAAACTGGCTGCACACATTAGGAGCAGGAACACTGAGGGAACTTGGTGTACTGCCCTGAGAGAGGCATGAAACAAAGGATGGAGCGGCATAGAGGTGTTGCAGTCATGCTCTGTTTAAAACAATGCAGTTAATGGGAATTGAGCCAAAGGAACGAACCAAATGGTGACCAAAAGCTGAACTTTGTTTCATTAACTCTAAAATACATATTACTTTTCACATCCCTGCATATGCTAATGAATAAAACCTGCTTTACATGTATGACTAAAGTCACTAAAACTCCACCTGATCATGAAATAACATCAACTGAAACTTTATCTTTTCCTCACCCTCAAAGAAAACAATATAAATATAACTTAAGTGGGGAGGGAGGTCAGATGAGACTCCACCTTTGTATCCTGAGATGGTCAATGGGCTGTACCCATGTCCCCCATAGGGATGCCTATTGGGTAAGCTTTATTCTGCAGAAATACTATTACTTATGTTTTCTGATATCAGTGTATTTCTGAACCTTATTCTGTCACAATAATCAATAAATAACACTATTTGAGAATCTGGAATTTTATTAAATGCATCCAGACTTATAGTTGAACCCATGCTATTTGCACATCTGGGATTGCAAATGTGACCAGACTTAAAGTGTAACCACACTGTTTGTGCATCTGGCACCTTATCAGACTTACAGTGTGTAGTGGGTTTCTGTGGCTAGGTTTTGGTGGCAGGGGGGCTACAGGAGTGGCTTCCATTAGAAGCTGCTAGAAACTTCCTCTGTCTGGTGGAGCCAATGCCAGCCAGCTCCAGGATGGGTTTCCTGCTGCTGGCTAAGGCCAAGCCAATCAGGAGTGATAGTAATGCCTCTGTGATAATATATTTAAGAACAGAAAGTTATTGCGCAGTGAAAAAAATTCCAGCCAGGGAAGAGCAGAGTGAGAACATGGGAACAAGGTAGACAACAAGGTCAGTGCAGAAGGAGGGGCAGGAGTGCTCCAGGCCCCGGAGCTAAGGCCCCTGCAACCCGTGGTGCAGACCATGGTGAAGCAGGCTGTCCTCCTGCAGCCCATGAAGGAGCCCATGCTGGAGCAGGTGGATATCTGAAGGAGGCTATGACCCTGTGGGAGGCTTAAGATGGAGTAGGGTCCTGCTGGAGACCTGTAGCCTGTGGAGGGAGGAGCCCACACTGGACCAGTTTTTTCCTGGGTAGGACTTGTGGCCCCTGTGGGGGACTCATGCTGGTACAGCTCATTCATGAAGGACTGCACCCTATGGAGGAATGATCCACAGGACAGCAGTTTTGTGAAGAACTGCTGCACGTGGGATGGACTCACGCTGGAGAGGTCCATCAAGGACTGTCTCCTGTGGGAGGGACCCCACAGGAAGCAGGGGAAGGACTCCTCTCTCTGAGCAGCAGCAGAAACAACTGACCGTAACCCCCATTCCCTGTCTCCCTGCACTGCTGGGGGGGAGGAGGTGGAGTTTGGAAGAAAGGAGGGGTGGGGGGAAGGTGTTTTTAAGATTATTTTACTTCTCACTCTTTTGCTCTGATCCTGTTAGGAATAAATTTATTTAATATCCCCACTCTGAGTCTGTTTTGCCCATGATGTTGATCAGTAAGTGACCTCTCCCAGCTCTTAACTCATGAATCTTTCATTGTTTTTTTTTCTCTCCTCTGTCCAGTTGCAGAGGGGAGTGAGAGAGCGGCTTTAGTGGGTACCTGGTGTCCAACTAGGGTCAACCCACTACACAAAGCCAAATTGGTTGCTCTAAAATATTATCTGTGAAGGTCTCCTGGGGACTCGAACAGACAGATAATATACTAAGAAGGGGAAGGCTGAGCTGAAACAGGAAGGGTTAATTGAAACACTTTTACTGTAAACCCATAAGAGCCCCCCTTACCCCCTGTACTTCGTTTACTGTAAACTGTAAGGCTATGTCCTGTACTAAGGGCATTAGACCTTAAAGGAACCACAACAAACACTAGACAAAGAACTCAACACCCATAAATCTCATCCAGAGGAGCCAAGGTAGACATTTGAATAGGTAAAGTAGGCCTAGAACCAAGGGTTTCTTCAAGCCTGGACGATCAGAACATAGAACAATGGATAGAACAGAAGGTACCCGAGGTCACCCGACGATGAGGAGTAGATTTGCGACCCCAGGATGAAGGCAAGACCGGAACCACCCTAATTTATTCCTCAAAATAGAGAGCACGCCTCAATCTCCACCCCGACTCCACCTGCTATGAATATTGTAATCTAATGATGCAATAATATGAATATGCATGTGCTTATGTTGTAATCATGATTAGAAACTGTATAAATTGCTTGTTTTTACTCAATCACTTCGGAGCTTTTGTCCAATCCGAACTGGAAGCTACCCCGACGTCGCAATAAATACCTGCTGTTTATGGGCTCAAAATTCTGCCTTTAAACAGTTTCCTTTTAACTGCCTTTTTGGGCATCAGAGCCACCCTTGGGCCTGATACATCTTCAGATAACCCAGAGAACAAGTGGGTCTCTCTTTCCTAAAATTTTACATGACACTTGACTTGGGAGGTTGTATCTGTAGGAAGACATAGGTCTTAAAATCAACAACCTGCATAATGCCATGAATGACTGTGACCTGGAGACAATTTTACAGATATATTATTTATTTAATATGCAAACCTGATGTCATCCATGCAGGAATAAGAGGAAGCAGAGTAACATTCTTGCAGACATAAGGGAAAATGCTAGCAGGAGTGTGGTGACCCAGACAGAACTCCCCAAGAAGGATGCAACTGTCCAAGTCACTGGTTGCAGGGAGTGTATGAGCCTGGCATTAGTACCAGAAGACAGTGCAAAAGACACCTATGTGCTGTGCGAACAGGTGAATGATCTGCTCTGTCTAGTGGCAGAGCTTAAGGAAGAAGTGAAAAGGCTAAGGAGTATTAGGGAGAGTTAAAGAGAAATAGACTGGGAGAGTTATACCCTTACAACCCTGAGAGAAGCTCATCAGGATGAATCAGAGAAATCCAGTAAAATAACTACCCAGAAGCTTTTGTTCTTTTGAACAGCAAAGGTATTTATTTGTCGACGTCGGGAATAAGCGGGAATGAACAGGATGTAGAAACAATGTGTCAATGGATACAGAGCATAGCGGAGAATTTCGAAGATCTGTCCAATGTCCGACGTCAACCCACCCGCTCTAAGGGAAAAATGGAAGGAGATTATGAATATTCCAATTATGAAGATGACTACGAAGACAGAGATGACAGCGTTTCCCGAGACTACAGAGACACACCAGTAAAGCGATCTAGACCACGAGCTCGACCTCAATCTCGATCTTGGTCCAGACCTCGGTCAACAACTCCTCCCCCTACACACAGAAGGAAGGGCCCTAAACGCGAATCACGTAATCAGCTGTGGTCCTACCTGCGCAGACAGGGAGAGAACATGAAGAAATGGGATAGACAACCCACTTCCAAACTTCAGGCTAGAGTGAAAGAGCTGAAGCAGAAGGAAGCCAATAAAAAACTTGTCTTTGTAGTTGATGCGGATTTTGTGGAAAAGCAATTGCGATCTCCACAACACAAGAAGGCTGAAGTCCACTTTCTTGACAAGAAGAAGGCCGCTGGTGGAGCAAAGAGGATATCTGACACTGAATGCTATGACAAGGACCAATAGAGGGGCCCTGCCTTCTGCCAGGAGAAGGAAAGGGACCAGAAGGATAATCGGGTTTACTGGGCTGTGTGGGTTCGATGGCCTGGCACATTGGATCCACAGAGATACCGGGCTTTGATAGACACTGGTGCCCAGTGTACACTAATGCCGTCTGAACACAAGATTATGGAGACTGTGTCTATTTCTGGAGTGACAGGAGGGTCACAAGAGTTGTCAGTGGTAGAGGCCGAAGTAAACTTGACTGGAGACCAATGGGAAAAGCATTCCATTGTGACAGGGCCAGAAGCCCCCTGTATCCTTGGTATTGATTACCTGAGAAGAGGATACTTCAAGGACCCAAAGGGGTACCGATGGGCTTTCAGTGTAACCACGGTGACTGAGGAGAAATCCAAACAATTGTCTGCCCTGCCTGGTCTCTCAGAAGATCCTTCTGTTGTAGGATTCCTGCAAGTCGATAATCAACAAGTGCCAATAACCACTTCAACAGTACA